TATGATGCTGCTTGGCCTGCTGTGTTCATCCAGCCTTGCACCTTGTTCTCACGGAGAAGAAGGCCATTTTCTTCTTGAATTTAGAATATTGAAATTAAAAGGGACATTTTGCACACAGTCAAAGCTGGGGGGAGTGGAGGAAAGTTCCTGCATTATGAGCGTGTACTATAAATGTTACTCCTCTATATAAATGTAGAAACCTCTACGCTTCTCGCTCCCACTACAAGAAAAATTGAAACAAAATTAAAATCAGAGAGTGTAAGTGGGTACTTAAAAGGTGAACAGTTTTGTTATACGAAAAGAAAGAATACCAAACTCAACTGGGCAAATAGCTTGTGCTCTTATTCTATTGGGGTAAAGGAAATTTTCTGCCTAAATGCGAATTTCTCAAATATTCACTCAAATAAATGTTAACCCTTTGTGGTCTGACGTCATATGTATTTGTATTTGTATTTGTGGGTCATATTTTAACTGAGTTTAGATTTCCATTGTTTATTTCCACCCTTCAATTAGTGATTAGAGGACACTTTGATATATTGAGGTTATAGCACATAGGAATTCATATTTCTCGGATGCTTGGGAATACGAAAGTTGGGTGTGAATCTGCTGTTCCTGTGTCAGTTGAAAACAGAGATGTCAGGTTAATTTGCAGAACTGGGTGCAGTACTTTGTGTTAGGACTTTTTTGCGTTATGATGAAACACCTGTCTGAAGTAAAAAAGCTGAAGTAAAATACAAATTGATTAATGGATTATGAGATTATAGTGTTACGTCACATTAAAGACTTATTAGTGGTCGCAAAAAGACTGCTACCATAGATTAGTTTGAAGTCAGAGTTTAAAGATCTTTTGTAAGAATTACGCTCAGCTATTATTAATTATAAAAGGATCACTGGAGAAAGAACAATGAAGAAACTGTACATAATTTACACTCACTTTCCATGTATTGCATTTCGTTTAACAAACGAGTTCCAGGTGAGTGGTTACATTGTTGAATTATCAAGATTAGAGCCATGCTTTCTGGCTATTGTGAACTTCCAAATACTATTCTGTCATATGTGTGAATTTTACTTCAGTATAACAAGATTACCTCATGTTAAATGTTTATTGGTTTGAATTGGTACTTCAGAGAAAATAACAAAAGACTGGAATTCTGAAACACTGGAAGGCTAATTGTCTTTGAAGAAATACTAAGAGAATGATCCGAAACTGAGAAAGCATTGGACCTCAATTAGCTAATGTACCAAGAATGTCATTCAGTAAGTTGTCAAGTGGTAGTAGAGAGTCTTCAATGAGATTTAGACAGGGGAAGTGAGTGAACAAATGTTAGACTGAAACATGACGTGGGTTATGACAATTTGTACATTTCAGCAGGGAGGATAGAGCAACAGTAAACTATTTTAATACAGTGAGATTGCAGAAATCAGCAGTACAGATGAATTGTGTTTTCTCGTACATGAATAACATAAAGTTAGTATGCAAACTCAGCAAGTGATTCAGATGGTAAATGACATTCTTCTGTTTCTTGTGAAGGA